CCCCGCCCCCGATTTTATCAATCGGGGAAAATCCGAACCCGAACCCGATAAACACGGGTTTTCCCCATCTAAATCGGGGCGGGTTCGGACGGGTACCCACGGGGGCGGGTTAGATTGCCATGCCTACCCTGGGGTGCTTGATGATTAACAAGGAGGGAGTCTCTTCTTCTCCATAGAAATAGATGAAAAATAATTGCTGGAACTCTTCAAGGGTGAAGAGAGAACAAGGGTGAGCGTGAAGGTTAGTGAAGGTGGGTGAATAGGGAAAGTCTTTTATAAGGGAAGACCTTTTTTTTTCTTTGTTTTTGTTTTTTTTTTCTTTTTCTCTTCTCTTCTTCTCTCTTAACTTTCATCTTAAGTTGATACTCCCTCGCTTGAGAAGGTGATAGAGGACACAATACAAGCTTCTTTCCCAAGTGTTGGAAACTTATCTTATTAGTGAGACTATCATGGATTGTTTTCTTGTCAAATTACCATGGCCTCCCAAGCAAAACATGACTAGCCTCCAATGACACTATGTGTAACACCCCAGTTTTCATACCATTTATTGAGGGTAATTGAGTAATTTTCATAAATTTACAGGGGTGGTTTAGTAGCCCAAAACGGGCCTTTCCCAAATTAGAACGGGTCGTTCCAGTCTACTAAAACAAGGGTAATTTAGTAGCCCAGAACGGGTCGTTTCAAACTACTAAAATGGCTTGTAATCCTAGTTTAGAACGGGGCGTTCCAAATATTGTCGTTATGGGTTAAATGCAACCCCAGAACGGGCCGTTCTAGTTTGAGAACGGGTCGTTCTAAATGTGAATTTTATACATAACGTAAGAGTCTAGAACGGGCTGTTTCGAATTCGAAACGGGCCGTTCCAGCAACGCCTGATGCCTATAAATAGATAGCTTTGGCACTCCCAAAAAGCACACTTTTCAATTCTGACTTCTTTCAGTTCTGTCTTCTTTGCTTCTTTACTCTCTTCTCTTCTTCTGTACTCTCTGAAGACCGAGGGGAACCCAGCGGAGGAGACCAACCAGATCTTGCTTAGTTTCAACTACTATTTATCAAGGTACGGGGGAAAAGGGAATTATTTGTATGTAGAGTTACATGAGGGAATTGGGTAGAGGAAGAATTCCTTAGGATTATAGGTAATTTTATAATTATTTCTGTTTGAAGAATTAATGATTCCATTAGATTCTGTATGTGTTGAGGATTAGAAATATATATTTAATTTGTAAGGATGATGATCTGGAAGAGAGAACAAAATTGTAGAAAAGTGCTTGTGAGTTAGGTTTTAGAAGGTAATTTTATAATTATTTCTTTTTGAAGAATTAATGATCCCATTAGATTTTACATGTATTGAGGATTAGAAATATATATCTAATTTGTGAAAATGATGATTTGGAAGAGAGAACGAAATTGTAGAAAAGTGCTTGTGAGTTAGGTTTTAGAAAAGTTGGGAGTTTTACTATTTGATTTAATATTGTATTAAATTGGTGAATTAATTAAGTTTTTATATTATTGTTATATTATTGTTACAGATGAGTATTCATGGTGAATTGCTTGATGGGTATGTGAATCATTGCATTGTGTGAACTTATCTGTATGTAATATGGAATTTGAGTTATGAAATGAGATGTGTGGAATGTGAATGAGACGTGATTGTGGATTCTCATACTGATGACCAGGGGTGAGCACGACCCTAGGCTGCTAAAAAAGGTAGCGTGACCTTGGCACAATGTTATGTCAGGGGTGAGCACGGCCCTAGGCTGCTAAAAAGGGTAGTGTGACCTTGGCATAGTGTTATGTCAGGGGTGAGCACGACCCTAGGCTGGAAAAGGGTAGCGTGACCTTGACATAGTAAGATTTGTGTGAATTATGGATGTGAAAATGATAATGTTAATTGCAAGATTTGTGATGATTGATGTGATTGCGAATTGTGACGTGATGATGCATGATTGATACATTTAGGATATATTGAAATGTTTATGAATATTTTATTAAGTATTGAGTTATAATGAGATGATATGTTGTGTTTTCCTTATGTTCTTTACATATAGATGTATGTTTTCTTTTCTCACCGTACAATTTGTGGATGTTTTAGGTGAGGAAGATCCGGCTATGAGTGGCATCTAGAATGCTAACAGTTGAGTTGTGGGTGTGCTCAGATAGTGTGACATCGGGGCAGAGGATCTTAGGATATAAATATTTAATTGGAGTTGTATCTTTCTTTTAAAAACAAATTGTAAACTCTTATGTTTTATTTTTTTCAAGTTTCAAGTATCTTGAACATTGAGAAATAATTATGAAGGTTTTATGTGAACCCTTTTACCAATGTTGGAAATTTTATTCTTTAGTTTATTTACATTTTTACAATATATATATGTTGGGGTAGTAAGGGTGTCAGACTATGTCACGCAAATCTTCATATTTATATTTGCCAATGGAGATTGGTATATTTTCTTGTTGGTTAACTTCAATGCCTCCTTCCTCATCAATCCATTGCAATTTGTAAGGTTTAGGATGAGGAATTGTAGTTAAGGCTAACTTCTCAATCAATAGTGCTACAACAATTGCATCTAGACCCACTATCTACAATGAAAGAACAAGTATTTTCTGAAACCTTGTTGCATCTTGTGTGAAACAAGTTCTCACTTTGAGATTGGTTAATTTCACTAGATTGATTTCCAAGGAGCCTTCTAACCATGAGTAAGTCTCCTTCACAAGGTAAGGTTTCTTCCTCAAAATCTATGGTTTCTTCTTCACTACTAGAAGTAGAAGAAGTGGAAGTAGCTTCATCAAGGCT